TTTAATTAATTATAAAGATAAATTAAATTAGGTACATTTTTAGTTGGTTACAAATGTAATTATATATTATTTTAGCATATATAATTTTAAAATGATAAATGCTAATTTTGATTCATCAATTTTAAGATTTTATGTAATTTTTGTTCCTTAACTTTTTTTTTCTCATTTTGGTCCCTTAATTATGAGTAGTTTACATTTTTAGTCATTTTATCAACGTGCTAAAAAAACTTAATTGACAAAATAACTAAAAATGTACATTATTCATAGTTAAAGGACCACTATGAGCAAAAAAAAGTTGAGGGATGCAAATTGTGTAAAATGATAAAGTTGATGGACCAAAATTGATATTTATGATTCTAGTGCTTGTTATATAATATTAAGATATTGATGAATTTTTAAGGCACATACTACTTAATTATGGGAGAAGATCGGAGTTGGATGTATCGTCGTCGAGATGAAATGGGGTATTGGAACAATGAATTTAATGTTGGGGTAGAGATTTTCTTAGATTTTGCATTCTCACAAACATACCCGATGTTTTGTGTAATAAATATGATTCAATGTCCATGTAGTAAGTGTTGGAATAGAGAATGGCATCATCGATGCAGAGTGCAATCTTATCTTATTACGAACGGTTTCATGGATGGGTATTTAATTTGGAAAAGACACGGAGAAATTATTCATAGAAAACGGCGTTGCACCCAAGTGGGTGAATCATCAAGTGTCGCTGCTACTGCTGCTATGAATAATGTTCCAAGTGTCAATCAACTCAGAGACATGCTTCATGATGCTATAGGACCAAATTTTTTTATTAATGAAAATATTGCCACGAGAGTAGAAGATGCAACACAATTTGATGCTAGCTTTGATGATCCATATGGTGTTAGTACAGAATCGATATTTGAGGAGCCAAGAGGAGATGCAAAAGAGTTCTTTGATCTTTTGCGAGCAGCTGATACACCTCTTTTTGATGGGTGTGATGATGGTGTCACTGTCTTAAAGTGGGTGTGTGAGCTCATGAGTGCAAAAACACTTTTTAACATGAGTGTTACTAATTGGGACTATGTGGTAAAGCGTAGTCTAATGACCTTCAAAAAAGTTGATAGGGAGAAATTGCCAACAGATTATTATAGTGCCAAGAAAATGTTGAGGCATCTAGGTCTTGGATATAAAAAGTATGATGTCTGTGTGAACAATTGCATTTTGTATTATGGAGAATATGAAAGTCAGTGTTATTTACAGTGCTCGGTATTTGAAGAGCCACGATTTAAGCAGCGTGATGTGCATTCTACTAAGCCTATACCAAGAAAGTCTTTGTGGTATCTTCCAATTATTCCTAGACTTCATAGATTGTATATATCTAGGAAAACTACCGAGCATATGACCTGGCATTTAAATTGTTATAATGAAAATAAGAAAATATTTCATCCTGCATGTGGAGAGGCGTGGAAGCATTTTGATAGCACTCACCCTGAGTTTGCTAGTGAACCGAGGAATGTTAGGTTAGGTTTGTGCACTAATGGGTTCACTCCTTTTGGACATTTTGCATCTCCATACTCTTGTTGGCCAATATTTGTGTCAGTTTATAACCTACCTCCAACAATATGCATGAAGCAAGAATATGTATTCCTTTCATTGATTATCCAAGGTCCCCAAAGTCCTGAAAAGAATATTGATGTAATGCTTCGACCACTAATTGATGATTTAAAGCAGCTTTGGTATTCTGGAATCCAAACTTATGATAGCTTTAGGCATCAATACTTTCTGACGAGGGCTGCACTAATGTGGACCATTAGTGACTTACCTGGGTATGGAATGTTGTCTAGGTGGAGCACACATGGTAAATTAACTTGTCCCTATTGCATGGAAAATTCGAAGGCCTTTTGGTTGGAACACGGTCGGAAGACATCATTTTTTGATTGTTATCGACAGTTTTTGCCACCGAATCATCCATTTAGAAGAAACAAGAATGACTTCATAAAGGGTCGTACAGAGAATGGAACAATGCTAGAGAGATTGTCTGGTGATGAGATGCGTAGTCGCATCCATTGGCTGCCCGATGTACTATTTGGTAAGCCACCTCAGAAACAGGAAATCCATGGATTTGGTGAAGTGCACAATTGGGTTAAAAAGAGCATATTTTGGGAATTATCATATTGGCACACAAACTTGATTCGACACAATTTAAATGTCATGCACTGTGAGAAAAACTTTTTTGACAATATCCTTCATACAGTAATGGATGACCCTATGACAAAAGATAACATAAATGTAAGACTTGATCTAGAATTGTATTGTAAAAGGAAAAGTCTACACATACCAAAAACAGGAGTGAATTCGGGTAAAAAGCCAAAGGCCACTTATGTTCTTAGTAGGGATAAAAGAAAATCAATATGTCAATGGTTGAAGCAACTTAAATTCCTTGATGGATTTGCCTTCAATATATCTCGATGTGTCAATACACAAGAGGTACGATTATTCGGTATGAAAAGTCACGACTGTCACATTTTCATGCAAAGCCTTATAC